GCTGCAGGGTCAGCAATGACTGAGCGCAGACAAAAAAAAAAAAAAAATAGACAAGAAAACTCAAAAAATAATAGTGCGCTTTATTTGTTTGTTGGTTTGTATGATTTATCTACTACTTCAATTGTCATGGATTCGAGGCAGTTTACAGATATTGCTCCATGGTTGATGATTGTCAAGGAGAGGCATGTTCACTTTCTCTCTTACTCACTCACTCACACACCTGTTGTAAAATGAATAAAAGTTTGTACGTATATGACAGGAAGGTACATTGCAGTTCAGAAAGGGAATTATGTGTGCATATGTAAATTTCTAATTAAGATTGTAAGTCTCAACAAGAAGCTGATCAAATGAATTGAGCAATTTTTGATAATCTTAATAATGTTATTATTATTGCTATTATTATCATTATTATTAGTAGTAGTATTTAGTTTGTCTCCTGCAAAAGATTCTGTTATCAAGGTTTACAACATATTTTAAGAGTCACATCAAATAGTTTGCATGTGAATGGAGATTCTGTTGATTGTGTACAACCTGAAAGATTTAACACTCTTGCTTTTGCAGTGTTGTGCTGTCGCCTTCATAGAGAAGTTGGATGCTCAGTCCCTAAACCTGAGCCAGGAAGACTTTGACCGCTATATGTCTGGCCAGACCTCTCCAAAGAAACAAGAACCTGAGAATTGGCCAGCCAACGTATGTGTGGGGATGCGCCAAATGTACAGGAACCTTGACCTCCTCTCACAACTTAATGAGAGGCAGGAGAGGATTGTGAGTGAGGCCAAAAAGCTTGAGAGGGACCTTATTGATTGGACTGATGGGATCACCAAGGAAGTCCAGGAGATTGTGGAGAAGTATCCCTTGGAAATTAAAGCCCCAAACCCAGCCTTGGCAGCCATTGACTCTGAAAATGTTGAAAATGACAAACTACCCCCTCCGCTACAACCTCAGGTTTATGCTGGATGAGCGTGGCTTCAGGACTCAGATATTCCTTCTGTCTGCTTTTTTCTGCTTGGCAGATGAGCTAAGGAAAAAAAATCAAACAAATTTAAAATTGGCACATTTTAAAGGTACTCTTTGTTGGTAGATGTGCTCCATGATATTTATTTTAGTCAGAGTTGGTTACTATGAGGGCTGAATTTCTGTGTTCCTGAAATGAATTTTCTTTTCTTTTTTTATGAAAATTCAATATAATTTTTAAGGAACGTTTTGGGGATTGTTTTCTTCCAAGCATGCACATGTTTTAAAATCAACCGGTGGATGGTTGTGCTGTCCTCACTCCATAAATATAGTTGCTTATCACACTTTGCCAAGAATGCTGTGTTTGAGAAAGAAGTGTAAAGGGTTCTTAATCTCTGTTTCAAGAAAGAGATATGTTGTAAAGTAAATATTTAAGATTGTAAATAGGTTTGAAATGTTGAGCAATGTCTTAATAGCAATGACATTTAGCAAGGAATGGAAACTGGTTTTTTTCTTCACTCTTAAGTTTTCTGCTTATAATTTTGATCTAGAATTGAGGATAGGAGACACCAAGGAAACACTAAATTGTAGTAAATAATACAATTGGACTCAATTCTAACACGACTAAAGTAATTTCCTAATATTTATAATTTCTTATCTGAATTTTGAGTCTGGTATAGCCCTTGTTTTAGCTGTGCTGGTCTCTAGCAACTGCATAGTTAGACCTATTTGAAGAGCAGAGCAGAATTGATGGTAGCTGTAGGTGTGTGTGTGAAATGCTGGAGCCAGTTTGAACAGTTGTAAAAATCACACGATATAGGGAAGACTCTGGGCTCTAAAAAGTGCTTTAGTGTTTTTTAAAACTTCATTTGCTTCATAGTGCTTGTGCATAGCCTTCAAAGAATTGGCTAGTGTGGCATGAGGCTACGGTGTGCTGGAAAAATTAAAGAATGAGGTGTAGAAAAGAAAGTTTATGATTGCTTTCCCTGAATCACATTTCAACTGTATTTTTAAATGGACTGGTCCACTCAGTTATAGATTGTCAGAAAACAGATTTATGGACAATCCTACAGGCAGTAAGCTTGTTTATGTTAATTTTGTGGATTACATCCATTTTTTATGTGAATTTGAACAGAGTAGGAATGAGGAATCGATAGCCCTCCATATATTGCTGAACTACAGCTCCCAGGATTTGTCTTCATTGCTATGATGGCTGGAATAGCTGACTACTTCAAGAGGTCCATCGCTTTCCCAATTCTTTCAAAGCTGTTCTGAAGATTAAGCCCATTGTGATATCTCTAGAGTCCTTCTCTCCCTCCAGTAACTCATCCGAAGGGTACACATCACTGTGAGTGACTGCCTTTTATTCCCCTCCAGCCTTTTCAGTGTTTTTACTAGTGTGATGATCCAGCCAGTCAAAATCTTCTCTCTTTGGCCAAAGATCTGTCAGTCTGTGTGGATGCAAGAATTTGCCAGACTGAATGAACTAGCCCAGCTTTCCCTAATGTGTCAGGTTGCTGTTATCCTGAGGAAGATATACATGTTGGAATGATGGAGTTGTAGTCCAGGAGATACAGAGGGCACCAGGTTCAGGAAGACTGGATTAGTCTGTGGGTGATACTTTTTCTGTTGCTTACTTTAACTTGACAGAGCTAGGATTCTTTGAAAGACCAGGTTGGGTTGTGTGAAACTATATTAAGCATTTTCCTGAATGACATAGTTTAAATGCAGCTCCCTCCAATTGTTAAAGTCATCTTAAATATCTGAGACTTTTGTGTGTGTGTAAGATCTTGGATATCCTGATTATCATTAAGTCTCACATAAGCTTCACAGTTCAAGGGAAAGATGATCTGGCCTATTGCTCTATTATATAGAAAAAGAAAAAAAAACTCTTTACAGTGTTACCTGTTTTTATATTACAGTAGAACACGTTTAAAATACCAACTCTTTTTCTTAAACTCTTCTCAACTCTCTGAGTCTTATTTGTACTTCTGGCAAACATGGGTTTGAAAAAATTAACTTACTTTGGAGTTGATTCCTAACCATTCCATTTCAAACTGTATTTCTGGGCAACATCTGAATGAGCCATCTTTCTACCATTTTAACTATACAGTTATTTATCTGTTTTTGGAATAAGGTCAGGCCAAGACTGTGACCTGTTCTGTGTCCACCTGCTTTAAAAAGCATATTGATTTTCAACTTTTTGAGCTATAATGTCTGAGTTTCTTGAAAGGTTAAATATTTATGTTCTTTCCCTTTCCTCAAACTTGTGGAAGTGAAGTAAACAAGCTGTTCCTTTGGCTGCAGAAAGTCCATGTTGATCAGATTCTGTTTTTAGAAACTTCAGTTTTCAGAGCTTTGTTTCTTGGCCTCTTTGTTTGACACTCTAGGTGCTAATTCTGGTTTCCAGGTATATATTTCACTCCCAAAAGGCATTATTATAGCTACTGCTGTTAAATTGCTGTCAACAGAAATAAACCATGTACAACATGACTCGTTATTAGTCAACAGAAATCTTGATTTACAATCTTTTATATATCATTGATGCTTAAAGTTTAGTCACTAATCTGTTAAATCTTGCCAAGCAAATTTACTGACAAATCTGTTAAAGCCTGCAAAGCTTGTAACTGCTAGTAGCATCAAGTTATCTTTAATTATACCGTTTTACTCTTGGGGGCAAAAATGGGACTTCATTTTCAGTTACAAAATTCAACGTGCCTTTCTTGCTTCTGTAATCTGATAGGGAGGAAAGAACTAAGGTCACTGTTACATTTTCCTGGATGGTGTCAGGCTGTCCTTTCTTTGCCATTCATTTCATTATATATTTAAAGATGATAAATTATTTTGCAGAACTCAGCATGCCATTCAAAGGCTAAGTACAGGTTTGGGTTCAGGGAAAGTTAGACTCTCTTTGGATTTTCTTAGATTCTCTTTTCTTAGCTGGGGGACTCAAAGAACTGCTGTTGGTAACACATTCTAGGGCAGTGTTTTTCAAACTTGCTGGCTGGGGAATTCTGGGAGTTGAAGTCCATACATCTTAAAGTTGCCAAGTTTGAAGAACACTGTTATAGAATTCTGGGGGTGCTGCAGGAAAGGCCCCCTATCTCACGCCTGCCAAAATAGTTGCACTTGGTGGTTGGGAAAATGCTGGAGGGCTGATATGGATGGAAAAGGTTCTGCAAGAAACCTGGTGGCATAACTTGTTCAACAAGGTTTTAAAAGGGGTTTTGCAACCTGCAAAAGTGACATATGGCCCTTCAGTTCCTTGGGGGCAGTCTCCAGGTTTCCTCCCAAAGTCAGTTAATTTATTAGCAATGTATATAATCTGTACAATCCCAAAAGGCTCTGGGGAGCAAAATATTTTTGTATATGACACAAGGGGGTTATTAAATACCAGGGGTTTAAGCATATTAAGTATCCTCAACTGTTAATTTTATGTAAATCAGTATGTGTTTTATCCTGGCCTGGCCTCTGCTCTGAAGCTGCTCATGTCACTCAAAGCCGCATGCAGTCCTCCATAAGGGCTGTGCACCACCTGCTTTAAGTGTTAAAACAAGTGATTTAAATAGGGCTTGGAAATACGCCTATAACCTCTGGATGCTTCATAGATGGACTGTTTAATTCCCAATAGCATTTCACCAGCTATAGTAATTGCACCAGCTGGGTTTCCAAACTTGAATAAAGGCAGCCTCATGTTTTTAAAAAAATCACCATGAACTCGCAGAGCAGAGAGTGTAGTATCTCTGTGGCCCTTTGTCCCCTAATTAGATTGATTAAAATTTATGCAGCTTTTCAGCTCTGCAGACCCAGGGCAATTCTAAACAGGGGATTCAGAATCTTTTCCATCCTGTAAAGAGGTTAGGAAGCAGAATTCTCCCACAAAAAAAAATTCAAAAGAAGTTTCTTATGTGGAGCTGGATTGAAGAAAAGGTAATAATAATGATCCCCTAACAATGCAACAGACATAGCTTCCCAGCAGTGGAAAGTTAGCTTTTGAAGCCTCCATCTGCAGTGTTGAGATTTGTAGTAAGCCGGCCTTCATATGTCTCCCCTCCCTTCTTTCCCTCTGAAACAGAAAGCTGACCAGGCCAAAGCAACCAGCTAGTTTTTATTTCTCTGTGGCCCACTAAGACAGCAGCAGTCCCCCGTTAGGGCAGTAAGGAAGCAAGGCCAGGTGTCTCAGCTGCAAAAAAGCGGTATCTTTCTTCACAGGCAGCACATTCTTTCACAAACAACTTAGTTTGGCTTGTGTTGTTTCTTTGCTGTATGCGGGTTCCTTTTTTCTGCCTGCAGCAAGAAAGTGGCCTTGTTACAGAGTTCATTCTTTGCCTCTTTCCAGCACCTCTCTGAGCCATGTGTGGCTTCCACTATCCTTGCATTCTACCTAGTCCAGGGAGCAGATAAGTATAGCTGAGTCTTTGTGGCACATAGCTGGGGCAGAGGGTGGGGTAGGATTTATTAGTGGATACACTCACACACTTTCAATGGAGATACAAGAGTTCGGGATCATATGTAGTAATGAAATGTTCATGGGACACATAGCATGTGGGGAGTCTCTGTTAACCTACAAAAGCTTTATTCATTACTGTTGCTTGAGTATTACACGTGCACCCACTTATACTCACTTGTCCTGCTGCACCATGGCTGGAGGATGTACAGGCACTGGAGAAGACTAGAGTGCTCTGTAGATAATTGTATGCTTGAATTGGGGGTCTTCCATCAAAGCTTGTCCTTTTATTCTTTGCCATCAACATCTGTTAGACATTCCCTTCCACATCAGCCTTTTGTTCACCTGTTAGATTGCTGGGTCAAACATTATGTGCTGCATGGGAAATTAACTTTCTTATCTCTGGTTGCTGTCCTGGTCCTTGTCTGATCTGGATGGACTGTTGCCTTGTGACCTATTTTCTCTGGTAGCTGGCGTCCAGGCTTGGTCTGATAGCTTCCTTGTTTTTCACCCTCCTTTGCAGATCTACATTTTTTCTCAGGTTCAAATTCTGTTCATCTGTCTCTCTCAATATTTTATTTCCTGTAACAGCCTGAGAGATACTGGTGAATCAGCAATTGTGCATAGAGGTGTATGCATCGTTAGCCCCTACTGCTGCCAATGGCTGCATTTGTACAACATGCTGAGCAGAATTAATATTAACAAGGACTTTTTGTGTGTGGCTTATTGTGATGTGTGAACCTGCTCTGTTTGGTTAACGTTGGATGCAGTGTATTGTGCAAAACCATAAAAGAGGTTACTTCAATATCCAGGATGAGCATCATCAGTGAATACAGCCAAGATGTGGGTTGCTGATCAGTTCTCCTCAAAGGATTGGGAACCTCCCTCAATTTGCACTGGACAAAAAGGGGATGATGATGAGGGTTCAGCCTTCTCCATTTCCCTAGATACCATGGAGAAAGTGCAGCCCACCACTGACTTTGGCATAGTCCAGACTGAGTTCTGGAAAGCCAGTGTTTAATGGGATGATGGTAGTGTTCCTTCAACATTTTATTCATCTCTCTCTCCCTTTTTGAAAATTAAATATTCATGACAGTTAAATATTCATGGACTGTTTGGAATGGGGATTTTAAATGTACTAGATGATGAGAGAAGTTTTTGATGACACAAAGATTTTTGTCTGCTTGTTAGCCAGCTAGGTTTCCTGAATTGTTCAGATTAAAGTCATTTTTAAAGTGCTTTCCACTATGGTATTGGAGTTTTATGTCAGAGTGAGAGAGGAACTAATATTTATATAATATTAATTTGTTGCTTTATCACAGAGGTGAACAACCTTTCTGAGGAGTAGTGCACTGAGGGCCATGATCCAAAAAGTTGGCAGTGAGGATAACAATGTTTAATTAAATTAATTGAATACAATAAATAGCCTAATAGTAGCGCCTTCTGTCACAATGCTTCAGCAGGTGGGATGGAAGCTCAACAAGATCAGGCTTGATTAATACTTGAATGAGGAATTACCAGGGAATCTCAGGGCTGGACTGGGAAATGGAAAAATAATCCTGAAATATAATGCAGGTAGTCCTCATTTAGTGGACATACAGTGACCATTCGCAGTTACGACTGTGATGAAAAAGTAACTTTGCAACCTATCCTCACATTTATGACTTCACAGGTCTATAAAGCAAAGGAAAGCTGAAGTAAGATCATAAGCACAGTTGCAGTTTCACTTAGCGATTGCTTCGCTTAATGGCCGAGTTGCCAGTCCCAATTGTGGTCACTAAACAAAGACTACCTGTAGTACCTGTAGTAAAAAGAGGGATAGTGGATGAATTTGTACCCAAGGCTGTCAGTCTGGGACTATGTTCAAATATCTTACTAATTTGGGTGTTTTTAACATTTGTTTCAATATGCAAAAAGGCACTTAGACATGTCTTGTTTCAATATGAAAATAAGGTCACCATTGCTGAGAATTTGGGTAGCTGAAATCTGCAAAATATTGGGAATAAGGATGTAATGCATTTATCATCATCATCATTTAAATTTGTATACCGCCCAACTTCCAATAACTCTAAATAAATTGGAATTTGGGTTAAGCAATAACATGGCCAAGTTTGCTACTCACACTAAATTATTACAGCTGGGAAAAACTCAAGCAGTCTGAGAAGCTCCAAAAGGACATCTGTCTTCAAACTAGGTCAATGGGCAGCCAAATTTAGCAGTGAAGTTCAGTATAAGAGTATAAAGCAATGGCCACTGGGGAGAAAAAAAGTTAACCATTACTGAAACCATCGTTTCCATCTCCAAGCAGCAGTGAAAAATTAGATAGAAAAGAAACCTTTCCATAAACCTTGTATTTTAAGACAAAATGTGGGGTGGGGACTAGTCTTCCCTTCAGAAAAATAAAATATTCCATATACTGTATGTAGGTCTGTGTATCTGCTGGCTGTGTTTGTCATATGGGTGTTAGTTTCCAACCCCATTGCAGAAAAGGATACCGTAAGGGACCTTTAAAAGTATGGGGGACTGAAGTTCTTTTGTAAAAGATAATTGTTTGTTCGTTTTTTACTGCAGAAAAGGAAAATAAAGTAGCATAATGTTTTGCCTGCTGTGGCGAAATTGGATAGAGCTGGTTTTATTCTCCATCTCTTACTGAACAAAAATAGCTTTAATTGCCAGGATATGCAGCAGCCAGGCAGACAAAAGTAATTACACCAGGGACAGTCATTGAAGTTCCTTTGCCCCCAAATATGATAGTCAGTAGCTAAGATGGTTTTAAAAAGAGGACTATCCAAGTAAAGTTCAATATCTGAAATTATCAGGTGGTGTGTTTGTTTTCATGCAAGGGAAGGAAGCAAATCAATTAAAATGTAATTCCAGGACTGCCTTAGTATTTGCACACTCCTATCTATTTGGCCATGACTTTTGGAAACAAATACAGCTATGAAAGCTATTAGATCAACATAGGCCCACTTCTCATTATACCCAAAGTTAAGCACTTTATTTTAAGCTTCTCAGAGTTCCAAAAAGGTTGGAGGTTGACTGAGAA